TATATATATAGGGGCACGTTCAAATGAAAACCGTGCATTTCTAAGAAACCGTGTAAACCAATTTCGACCAATAAGAAAATTCTATTTTTTTTAATTAAATTTAATCAATAAGGATATTTCGATCATTTACAATATTTTCTATTAAATATGGAAGTTATTAATAAATCTTAATTAAGAAAACGTAATAAAGAAAATTGTATAAATGGTAACATTTAAATATTTAATTATATTATAATATTAAAAATTTGAATTTAATATATTGTTATGAGATTGAATCTGCAAACGGGTCTTGAAGATTGAATTGCATTATGGAATGAAATCGTAAATTATGGTTCAAATTAAAAAAATAATGTTAATGAAACAGATTTTATGAAGGTGAAACTGGTTCATGTTGTAATTGATTCATGAGTAATATAAAATCGTTTCATGGTGAAACACGTTTCCGTGATGGTATAGTTGATCCGTTTAGTAGAAAAAATGTAACATGATACGGGTGCATAATTTATTTGGTTCGTCATGAAATAATAGCATGATGAAACGGGTACATGATGAATCTGCTTCGGGATCGTGAAGATTGTAATCTGCTCCAGAATCTTGAAGATTGTAAGGAGTAAAGGAAAGAATGCATCAAATCATGAGTAAAATAAAAAATTTAATTTACATGAAACAGGTTTCATGAAGGTGAAACTGGTTCATGGCGTAATTGAACAATGAGTGGTGAACTGCTTTCATGGTGAAACTCGTTTCAGTGATGGTGTAGGTGATCCATTCAGTAGATGAAATGAAAAATGAAACGGGTGCATAATGTAGGCGGTTCGTCATGAAATAATTGCAAGATTAAAAATAAATTAGTTTCATTAATAATAATAAATGTTAACGTAAAAATGTTAACGTAAAAATAATAAATTACTTTACAAAAAATAGATTAGTTTCATTAATAATATGATATACATGATATGGTTTCCTTGAATAAATGAATATTTGGTTTTACCCTTTTGCCCTTATCGGTATTATAAAATGTATTTTTAATTTTTTTTTAATTTCCTTAAATAACCTTGATTGATCTTAACCATTGATCAAGAAAATGGATGATTGAGATTGGTTTACACGGTTTATACAAATGAAAACGGTTTTTATTTGATCGCTCCTCTCTCTCTCTCTCTATATATATATATATATATATATATATATATATATATTCTATAAATCTATATTTTTATAAGACACCTTTCAAATAAGGTCGTATAAAATAACTAATACGAGTATACGACACTTTTTTTTTAACGTGTTTTAGAAAACTTGTTAATAAGTTCAAAATGACAAATTGCATGAAAAAGTAACGTATTTTAACTTAATTCCTATTTTGGGTAACAAACTTTTAAAACTTTAATTTTGGTATCTAAGATGTAAAGTACTAAACATTTAGGTACACGAGTAACCGGTTGAAGTATTAACCGGTTACCATGCTAATGTGTATTATTTGCTATTCAACCCAATTTCATCCATCACTCGCCACATCAGCATGGTAACCGGTTAATGCTTCAACCGGTTACCCGAATACTTAAATGTTTAAAACTTTACATCTTAGGAAACTTTACATCTTAGGTACCAAAATGGAAGTTTTAAAAGTATGTTACTCAAAATAGGAATCAAGTTAAAGTACATTAGTTATTCATGCAGTTTAAATGAATTAATATTTACCAATTTGATAAAATGCATGTCATTTTGATAGGTTATGGGATGATATTTTTAGCAATTGGATCCATGGTGAAAGGTTTTCACTAATGAAACAATTATGAGCTAATTAAAAGACAAATTATATGAAGTAATGTCTAGGGTGTTAACAAGTCGAGCTTTTAACGAGCTATTCAAGCTCGAGTTTATTGATCTCGAGTTCAAACTTAATAGTTGTTGATCTCGAATACACACATTAAGACTCGTTTAACTTAATGATTGAGCTCCAAAAACCAATGCTCGGCTCTGCTCAGCTCGATTATGTTTTTCGAGTCGAGTCAAGCCAAGACGAGTTATATTTTTTTCAAGTCAATCATTTAATATGTTCATCAATTTAAAAATTATCGAGCTCAAGCCAATAAACGAGTCGATCATGAGTTCAAACCTGTAAACGAGTATCAAACTCGAGCCCATTGAAAAAGTTAGTCGAGCTCGAACCTGGTAAAGTTTTTGCGAGCCAGACTCGACTAACCTACAACTCAACTTGACCCAGCTCGTTAGCACCTCTAGGTGGACTATCTCTGACAGATTTTACAAAATTTCTCCAAAATGGACAATAAAAATTCAAATTGCCCAAACAAAAATTACATTCAACTTCAACACATTTTTCATTTTAAAAATTACAGCGTTAATTATATTACTAAATATTCAATATATTTAACTCTTCCAAAAAATTTATTTAAAGATTTGGTATATTGGAATATAAAATAGCTTGCAAAAGTTTAGCCCAAAATCCTTAAAATAACCATTCTCTCAATTTACAACATATTTGGTCAGTTGTACATGATTGTTTGGTAGTGATTTAATGATATAGAAAATGATTTATTCAATAAATTTTTAAGAAGAGCTTTTATACAAAATGTCAAGTTTTTTTCTTCCAAACATGCTCTCTCATTTAAAGAACACACTCTTTCCATTTATGAAAAAACTCTCCCAAATAAAAACATTTCCAAACATGGGAAGGTTTGGTTAGTTTTCCATTAAGTCCGCTATGAATAAAGTTGTCTGTGTGAATTAATCTATCAATATAGATTGAGAATGGTTTTTTCATAAGGACCATGTTTTCTTAATTGGGAGGGCAGGTTTGGAAGAAAAAAAAAACTTGACTTCCTCCACAAAGCTCTCTCCTGAAAACTTACTGGATAAGTCATTTTCTATATCATTAAGTCACTACCAAACAGTCATGTATAATTGACTGAATAAGTTGTGACTCCATTAAACTCATTAAGTTGCTAACAAACATGCCCCTAATCAAATAAAGAATGTGAACTTGAATTATATAAATTTAAAATGTATAAAAATCTAATATGTCTTAATTTCATAGGTATTACACTTCAGAGTAAGAATCGATAGTATTTAAACAAAATTAAACTTTAAAATTATCTTATATTACAAATAATAACTATTTGAGTGTTTACGATCCGAGCATTTTAACAGGCTTAGTAATTCTCGAGTTTGAGTCAATCCCAAACACACAAAAATCCGTTTAACTCAATGAGTCAAACTCACTAACACCAATTATTGACTCGACTTGTTCAAAAGCTCAGTTATATTTTCAATGAGTCTGAGCCTTGCGAACATGCACTTTTTTGAGTCAATCATTTTCATATGTACATACAAACTTGAGTAAATTACGACTTTCATCTATGTGGTTTGTTAATAATTTCTATTTTCATCTTGTGGTTTAGAAATTGCGATTTTTATCCTTATGGTTTGCAATTTATTGTTATTTCGTCCCTGAACTAATTCTTACCTTTAAGTACAAGGGACTAAAATAACAAAGAAATGTAAAACACAGAAACCGAAGAAACAATAAATTGTAAATCATAAGAACGAAAAATAGCATTGAATTATAAACCGTATGGACGAAAACCTCAATTTCTCAACCACAGGGACGAAAATCATAACTTTTAACAAACCACAGAGACGGAAAAAGTAATTTACTCTAAAAACATTTTAAAACTCAAACTCAGATTCGTTAACGAGCAACAAGATCGAACTCAAACATTAAAAAATATTCAAGCTCAAGCTTGACCACAAAACATTTGAGGTCGAACCTGATATTATTTTCACAAAACAAGTCCAAACAACCGGTTATTCTACTCATTAACACCTACACAGATAAAACATTTAGGGGGCGTTTGGTTCAGGTTGGGAAAAAATGAAAATGGGAATGACTTTTCATTCCCCCAGTTTAACATGGAATGAAAATTTGGGCTTCTGAGGGAATGATCTCATTATATTATATAAAACTAAGCAGATTCTTTTACTATCATTCTCATTAATTACTGCTTAATACCTCTAACCAAACACCACCTTAATGTATAAAAAGATTAAAAGCAAAAAGAACTTTTTTTCCATCCAAAGTCCTACTTTTACCTGATGTATGCTATTTGACTTCAAAAGCCCTAAAAAGGACATATAATTCAAGATTTTTTAAGTAGAATTTGATCTTTCTAAGACTACCAACCTCCTATTTATAAAAACATTTTTTTTCTTTTCTGAAATCTAAGAAATCCCGAAAACGATCCAAACAATGTCGTTGATCGAGGGTGACAAGCAAAAAGTCGGTTCTAAGATATACCGGGGGAGGTCATAAAATATCGATCTCTCTCGGATTAAGGGTGGGCTTTTTCCTGGATCCAGAACGGTAGATCTACGGCAATGTATTGCTCTAACTAGATCTGACGTTTCTGGTTCTAGAAAAAGGACTTACCCGATACTATGCTTGAAATAGATATTTCATGTCTTCAACAGTGAGACGAGTTTGAGAGCCACCATTTTCATCGTCTCCGAATGCTGATGCTACCAATTCTCTCTTCTTTTCCTACAAATGACGAGAATTTGCTCAGTAATGAACGAAAAGGTATGATGGAGAATATGAATCTCGAAGCTATAGGAAAAGGGAAAGTGCAAAGTTATTGATATCCAAGTAAATACCAATATGCTAAAGAAAACGACAAAATCCTATACAGCCAAACGAAATAAATCCAGTAAAAGCGTTGTATGTTATCTCTCCGTAAGGCTCTTAAGGGATTAAGCTGAATGACAAAAATGATTATTTTACCCCTCAGTCTAGATCAAAGGCTGGATCAAAATGATTCTTTGATAAATCTGTTGAATGCAAATTCTGAGCCGTTAAAATTATCACTTTTTTTTATTAACCTGGATATCCAGCCCGCTATGCGAGCCGACTAATCCCAGGGCGACCACCTGCTTTGCAGATAGCCCGGAATCACCGCATTTATCACTCTATCAACTATAAACAAAAACAACTTGATCCAACATAATGATACCATTAAGCCAATTAAGCCACAAACAATTCTAATGAGCTTAATGGTCTATAAGCGCTCAGCCATACATGAGTGTTTCTTTATGGCTTAATCGTTAAGCCACTAAGCCAAAATGGCTATATGGAATAAGTCAGGACCCCTCACTTGTCTCCGTTAAGCCACCTCAAACAAATTAATGCCATAAAGGATTCAATCCTCTCTCTTTGCCTCCTTCAAACCCAATCGGTCTCTCATCCCTCATTATCTAACCAAACAACTTAACCCATACAAGGCTTGTGAAAAAAGGTAAACATCCCAATCTAATACAGAAGTAGGGTCTAGGGGCAAGATGTACGCAGACTGTTTCCTCTACCAGAAAGAGTAGACAACAAAATCCTATATGTTGTGAGCAAATCAAAAGAAACATGAACAACCATATGCACAAGTAGATGACAAACATTTATGGATTCGTTCAATAGGGGTACGCCAGTTGAGCGAAACAAGTTTACTCACCGTACTAGAAGAAAGATGGACTGTCGTTGACCCTAAAGCAGGTGGATCTTATATAGACTCTAATACATTTATGATTCTGACTCGAAAAGATAAATCTCAATTGTAAATGGTTAAGGGATTTCCATATATCCATAACTACTGAGCGACGATTAAGCAGTCTAGACTCTAGAAAACATTAAACAAGCTAATCAAATTAAGTAGGATGGTTAGTTAAGCAGATTAGCCATTTTTAATCCCAAATCCATGCATTTACATTTGGCCAAAACCCAAATCAATATCCTTAAGCTTTTTCTAGTTATTGTTTCTAGCCTAGTCAAACTCAATAACCTACCCAAACCCTAAAAGACAATGAAATTAGTCAATTACAAAGGTTTGAATATGAATATAGTATCAATATTTAACACTTAGGTATTAACATAATCTATAAACTTTATTACAAACACAAAAAAGAAGGCAATTTTCTTGCAAATATAATATATACATGTATTAGAAGGGTTGGGTTCTGGTGAGAACAACCCCATTTCGTGAGAACATGAGAAAAAGTAAAGGTATGCTTGTACTATTTGAAGGTTTGTCGCGAGAATTTTGAATATGTCTTTATATTGTGTGAATGTTACAACATAATGTAACCTTTTGTTACACAGTCGAAGGTGATGTGAAAATTACAATTTTCATACAATATAATGTAACACACACAATATAAAGGTATTTCACCACCTTCTCATGGAAGTCAAAATATCTCACATTTTTTTTTGTTAACCATGGGTGTCCGGGGCAGTTTGCACGCACCTCGACTAATCCCTGGGCTTGGAGAACTGCCAGGAAAATCCTAGTGGCCTTGCAAGACTTAAACCAGTGACCTCTAAGAAAAATCCCCAAAATTTCTCGCATAATCCTCACTAGTCACTATATTAGAAATCCGACTTGACTAAAGGGGAAAGACCTGCTCTATATAATAATATGCACCACGTTCTTTTATTCCACTCGGCAACAACTGACAAATCCAACTTGACTAGTTACTGACTTATGGAAGAGCCCAGCCTCCATAACCACATGGGTTCAAACCTCATTCAAGGTGAGGAGGGTGCGTGAGTATTTGCCATATATACAATATAAATATTATATACTTCAAAAAACCAACTGACAAATAAAACCACAAGGGCAGACGATAATACCTGAAGAGCTAAAATGCGATCTTCAACAGTATCTTTAACAGTCAACCGCAAAACTGTAACCGGGCGAGTCTGCCCAATCCGATGAGCTCTGTCAATTGCTTGATCTTCCGTTGTCGGGTTCCACCAGAGATCCAGAAGAATTACATGGCAAGCAGCAACCATGTTTAACCCGAGACTAGCCGCTTTTAAAGACATAATCATAACAGTTACCTACAAAAGCAGACACTCTTAGACTGAACAGGCCGATGGTCAGAAGCAACCAAACCAATCCAAACAAGACCAGTATATCCCACCAGAAGATGGAGTCTGAGAGGGGTGAGATGTATGCAGACCCGACCTACTCTACCCTGGACAATAGAGAGCGGTTGTCGGTTGTTTACTTCAAAACCCCCTACTAGTGCATAGTTTGTAAAAAAATTGCAAAGAAAGAACATATGAAAAAGAATTTGAAAATCAGAAAGACGGTTAAAATTTTGAAAAACGAGTATGAAGATGGTCAAAAGTAACCACTGGACACCGTGCGACGTGCGGAAAAGGGCGCCTGACCAATTAGAAACAAAAATAAATAGGAACATAGTTCCAATAAGAGGAACCCAAGGACCATATTCTTCTCCAATTTGAGTTTTACTCACATCTCGAATAAATTCAAGGACATATTGCTCTTCCAGCCGCCGGACCCTACCTCCGACTGAGTCAATTTCAGGGTGGGCAGGCTGTTAAACAGAAAAGATAACTCACTTTGCTTTTTGTCCATAAGGTATATATAGGTGGTACCATGGGTTATGTTGCTCAAACCAAACAAACATAGTATATCCCACCCGAAGGCGGCGTCTGGGAAGAGAGAGTACGCAAACCTGACCTCCACCCCAGAAAAGAAGAGCGGTTGTTTTCATGAAGACCCTCTACTAGTGCATAGTGTATAAATAAGCGGAAGAAAAGAACACATGAAAAAGAACTTGAAAACCAGAAACCCAGTGTTAAAATTTGAAAAGAGTATGCAGATGGTCAGAAACATTCCACACAAACCTCAGGAAGAGTGTTGAAATCCTTCACTGCTTTATCTCGGGCAACAACAGACATTGTCCCATCAAGTCTCCTGTAACCGATGGAGGAATCTTTAAGACAAACTTCAAGCAAATCCAGCATCCCCGTCCACTGTGAGAACACAATTGCTTTCTCCCTCTTGACTGAATTTCCTTTAGTGTTAGTATCCTTGTCAAAAACACCAGAAATACTGCCCAGAGATTTTTCTGGATTGCCAGCAGAACCACCAATAGAGGAGGAGGAAGTAGTGGCCATTGTTATATCCTGAGGTTTTGAAATAGACCGCAAGAATTCGAGGGCGGCTTTAATTTTGGAGGAATCAAGTGCCTTAGTAGCCTCAATTTTTGGGGACCCAAATGGTCCAATGAACGAAGAAGTTTCCAGAACTCCAGATTCTACTGAACCAGAACCATAAGGGATGTTACCTTGACCAGGCTGGTTAGCTATAGCAACTTCAAGTGTTGATTTAGAAAATACTGAAGATCTACTAATGAGGGATTTGCACTCTGAGGATGGACAGTGACTGTCATCACTTGAAAGATGTTCGAGGATGCATTGATTGCAGAAAACATGCTTACAAGTTGTTACAACAGCATCTTCAGGTGGATCCTGTAGAATTTATGCAAATTTATGTCAAGATACCTCATAAACGTATTCTCAAGATAATGACTCTGCCTAGACTTATATATGAATACACACATATGCACAGAAGAATAATTCTGCATTAAGCATACATACATACATACATACACACATATACATATTATATATAGGGTCCTTTGGTTAAAAGACCTACTGACAGAGTGACGGGTTATTTTAAATCCATGACCTTCCGACAGGTTTGAAAAAGTCATTGCTTACCAGAAGAATGCCACTTCCATACACAAGAATGTCTAGAAACTTGTAAGGTCGTGGATTTAAAAAGCACTTCTCAGGATGTCATTTAGCTAAAATAACCCCACATCATATATATGGCTATATGTATATGTTATTTGGCATAATAGTTCAGAAACAAATACTTCCTGTTGCTACTTCACTAAGACACCATAAAATCAGCCTCAAAAGTGTTAAGTCTACCCTCTGGATCTTTTTTCTTTCAACCATAAGTTTGATTTTCAGATAATAATAGACCAAATTACTTGCACTTGGGCTATTCTTTCCGACTACTTGTAACACACAAGAACTAAGATGACGAAAGAAGCAGATAGTTTTAAGGACCTAAGGGCCTGTTTGTTAGCAGCTTAATGGGACTTGCAGCTTATTCGGTCAACTATACATGACTGTTTGGTAGTGGCTTAATGAGATAGAGAGTAGCTTATTCAGTAAGCTTCTAAGAGGAAGCTTTATGCAGAAAACCAAGTTTTTTTTTCAAACCTGTCCCTCCCAACTAAAACCATGCTCTTTCTATCTATGAAAGAACTCCCACAAACAAAAACTTCCCAATCTATACAGACATAATCCACACAGACAACTTTATCTATGCAGGACTTGAAGGAAAACCAACCAAACAGCCCCTAAAATTAAGAATGAAAAGCATGTGATACAAACTTGTATAGCAGGATTAAGGGATATCACATCAACAAGGAGTTAAACAAGTCAACGAGCGAAAGATACTAAGCAAAAAAAATCATTTTTATAAAAAGAGTGCAAGGAAAGAAATCTTTTGCATACGTCACATATGCCGCAAATTGCTAAAGAAGCTTCCAAGCACTTTAGAAGACCGCATAATTTTTCTTGAGGAAGCTCTTTTGCCTTCTCAACAGACAACCTCCACCCGGTGCTTGAGCTACATCCCCTAACAAGTAAAGGGTGATCACAAGCTTGTCGGAGGCGTAGAAGCATCAACAGTATGTTTATGTAGTTTTGTTTGACGGTGCCAGCAGCAGCATATTCCTGTCAGTGTGCACCAAACGTTAGTGTTAATAGACCAACGAATACATTAAAAAGAATTATATACTATTAGGGTCAGGTTCAGGAGAAAACCGCAACAAAATAAAAAATTGAGGAACACCTTGGTAACCATTCATTTGGACGGTATGCACATGTGCATACAAGTAACTTGTAAGCGAGTTGTCCGGTATGCACATGTGCATAACATGAACACGTGCATAAAAACCAAAAAACAGCTTCACCTACTTGTATGCACATGTGCATACGTCCAGATGAATGGTTACCAGGTTGTTCCTCAATTTTTTTCATTTTTTTTTTGGAGTTTTCCCCTGAACCTCCTCAATACTATTATATTCAAATAACAAATAGGTAGAAAAGGATTTAAAAAAAGTATAATAATGTGTATTTTACATATTTCTGATAATAAGTTAACGTCATCTTTGCAATTTTAGCTTAAAAATTGTGAGACAACGCACACCTGTATGTATGGTATTTTAACCGGCGGAAAGAAGCAAAAGCACAATTTTGAATAATGAGTATGTAATAAGTTAAAACCAGCCAAATGCCCAAGTGCAGTGGACATTTTGCGAAAATTACATCATAAAAGTTGGAAAATGTCAGGTTTACACGATCACAAAGTATCTATCTAGTTTTATATAACCTTTTAAGCCACCAATTATCAACCAAGGACATGGTTCCCATCATGATGTATAATATTATAAGTTAGCAAAAAAAAGATGTTTGGTATAAGCATAAATGATCCATAAACATACTATCTAGTTGCTCAAGCTTCAAACAGAAACATACTGCAAACTGAGCACGGGAATCAGCCTCCAGACTGCGGTAGAAACCACGCTCCTCAGCAGTGAAGTCCACTTTCTTCAGGATAATGGTTTTGGGTGGCAACGAGATTATTGGTTCTCCCTTTAGAAGTGTACCTAAAACAAAATTACACCAAAGTATTATAAGTTAGAGCAAGCAATGCATCAACACTTTGTAATTGACTTGGTAGTACAATACCTGAAGTTGCATCAGATAAGCATATATAGAGAGAGGGAGGTTCAGGGGAAAACCCCCAAAAAATTATGAAAAACTGAGGACACCTTGGTAACCATTCATCTGGACGGTATGCACATGTGCATACAAGTAATTGAAGTTGTTTCTTGGTCTTTATGCACTTGTGCATGTTATGCACATGTGCATACCAGGCAAATACTTACAAGTTACTTGTATGCACATGTGCATACCGTCCAGATGAACGATTACCAGGGTGTTCCTTAGTTTTTCATTTTTTTGTGGTTTTCCCCTAAATCTGACCCTACATATATATATATATATATATATATATATATATATATACATACATATATACATACATACATACATATATACATACATATATACATATATATACATATATATATATATACATATTACTGACCAATAATGTAAAACCAAGAGAAACAACATGTAAGTTAGCGAGGAACTATCACAAATCGACCATCAAAGTTGTACCCAATGTATTGGTCAGAATGACCAATCATAGCGATTTCAGAGTACTCGCTTCAGTGAATGATGCATGCTGATTTATTCAAGATTAATTCCAATACTTTCTCAGTAGCAAAACAGTTAAGATGGTTGACTCTACACACTAACAAAGGAATTTTTACTAATTTCCCAAACTACCCCTTACTGCAGTGCTGAAGACTTCCTAATATGCTAGATTTGTCATTTCAATACTTGGAATTATGTTCACCAAGATGAGTTGCATTGGTAATATAGTAGCGGTAAGAATAGTCATTCAACCAATAAATTTTGCAGGAGAGCTAAAGCTACAATGAAAGTTCACCAAATACAGCATAAACCATTTTCAAGTTATACAGCATAAACCATTTTCAAGTTCCATGATCTCCTGATCATACAAACTAAGATAAAAACAAAATTGCTGCAGATCTTTTTTGCTGACAGAAGTAATGTAGTGCCACAAATAGCCTCTTAACATTCCCCATTTCTGTACCTTTTCTATCTCCAAACCTAGTGTGTTGGGTAAGACTACAAACCTACTTACAACAATCAAGGATTTGCAGTATACTAAAGCTACAGAAAACTAAAACTAAGTGCCATTCTGGCAAGGAAACCCCAGTTAATTGGCAACTATTTGCAAGATGGAAAGAGAGAATCAATCAAAATGGACATAAAGGATAACTACAAACAGAAAGTGTTCTAAGTAAATTAATATTGATTGATTGAAAGCTTATATCACCTTTTGTGCGTCGAAGCATAATAGTCTTCAAGATGACCTGTAACTTTTTATATCCAGCTACCGGATTCCTTTGGATAGGGGCCTTTATTGCTGAGCAGAATGATTTAAATACAGCCAACGGATCGTATCTTAAAAATCTGAAGTAACTATAAAGGTCATCAATAGAGTTCTGAATAGGAGTCCCTGACAAGCACCACCTGCGTTTAGCTCGGAGACCCCAACAAGCTCTAGCTACTTGAGTTTTGTAATTCTTAATGCTCTGAGCCTCATCCAGTATAACCCTAAACCATCTCAGCTTGGCAAGAGGACGATCAATAGATTCAGAGGGTTCATTATCTGTTCCCTTCTTATCCTTTCGGGAACTTTCATCAGAGCTAGGAGGGTATTTCCTTTTCTTGGTGGGAGAGAGCTTTATAGGAAGAACATCACTTCGCTTCTTTGTTTCATCATCATCTTCATCAACAAGTGGCTGCTTTGGAACCTCCATGCTCACAATTGCATATGTAGTGAGGACAACATCATACTTGGCTAGCTCAAATGGATCCTTGGTTCTATTGGCTCCATGATACACTAAAATGGAGAGATTAGCTTCGCTGCTTACTTTACTCTGCAACTCTTCATTCCATTGACGAAGGACGCTAGTCGGGCATACAACAAGGGTCCCTGCAGCTAGACAACTTTTTGTCTGCACAGAAGTGTATGTATGTTCGATAGAACTTGCATTGGTTGCCATCACACAAGACTCAACATCTTGCTTGAATTTATCAAGCAATGTCATGGCATCCTTGTCCTCTTCCTCATCGTCGACCAAATTCAAAGTCTCGGTTTCATTCTCTTTCATTTGGATAGTGCAGACACTAGATGGAGGAGACCTTTCCTTGAGAATAAGAGCAATCGCCGATATTGTTTTACCCAACCCCTGCCAGAGAATGACCATAAAAACCACATAGTAATGAATAAGGGGTCCACATACACTATACATTAAATGAGATTAAATAAACAAAAAAACAAAAGGAATATGGATAAAAACCTGATCATCTGCAAGAATTCCTCCACAGCAGCGTGTGCTTTTCGTCTCTTTCCTCGTCATCCATGACAAAGCAATCCTCTGACAGGGTTAAACTTAAAGTTATTCCAATTCTTCGGAACAAACAATAGTACATGACAAACAAAATACATAGTGTGGTGAAGGAGTATAAGAAACTAATTACCAAGTTTGATCAACAAACAAGACAAGAAATAAATACAGTGCCCAGGATTTCTCAGAATGTGATATGCATGATCTTTCATTGTTGATACCATGACCATGATTCGTCAAGGATGATGTTTTGGAAGGTTCTAAATTAACATGGTCCCAACAATTTTTAGGGGAAAATACAAATATGTGCAACTCTCCCACCCTCCCTTTCTATCTCTCTCTCATCAAACTGAAATCTCTACCTGGCAATGATGGATTGTATCATTTATACAGACCCGAAATCTGTAATTGACGGCTCCCTTCCTCCCCTCTCTCTCTCATCTTAGACCTTAATCCGCAATCTGGTTATATGATACTGTAACATTACTAACCGCTTTGTTAGATTCTCTTATCCAACTTCTACATATGATAGCCACTCCCCGTTCTAGGGCTGAATCCAAACTTTGGCTGGTTATTCTTATCAGTGTTTATTATCGTTTTTCGATTCTTGTATCCAACCTCTATGTCTGCTAGCTTACAGGCAATTTTGCCTCCCTTTGGACTACCAGGAACTCTTATATAATCAGAGGTTTCCCTCTTTTTACTATCGAGGAAATCCTATGGTGCTGCTTCAGTAACATTAGGTTTTGTGCATACGGATATACAGGCAGGTTTCATATGCAAGTAAAAGTTTCCATAAGGGATGAGATACTTTTAGGTTTTAGCCGACTATGGACAGAATTTGTCAACCACAAGCAATCAAAAGAAGGGTTCCTTTTTTTCTGGAGTGTTTTGTCTTCTTGGATAAAAATAGGAAACATCACACCATACAATGTCTTAACCCTAAAACCAAAAGTTCTGCGCACAGCTCCAAACCTGGTGTCTCAAAAGTGGAACTGCCAAACCACCATCTGGTAGAGATTTCTCTGGCTTCGAATGAGGCAAATCCTGCAGCAGAACATGAACCTCATAAGAAAAAAATTCCACAAAATATCCTTCAAACTAAAATGATAATGTTTCACCCTCCAATAGTACAAAAAAAGACATGAGGTTTAGCAATTAATTGGACTCCTGGGAGCATGATAAACTGTTAGTTATGTTATAAGTACCATAAACAGTTGTAGGTCAAACAAAATAAATGGTTCATGACTGAAGATCTTATATGCAATTGTTTTGTAAAAGCGAATTTATATTACATTATCCTAATACTGAGTTTGCAAACTTTTCTGAGAATGAAATTACCTGTTGTCAGGTGTATACAAACAGTCCCTAAAACCGACATGGAATATACTTTTTTTAGGAAAAGAAAGGAGGAAAAACACAAGATTGCAGTGCTTTTCCCCAGCAACACAATATGAGATCAAATCGGGTTTCTAGTCAGTCCATACCTAGAAGCAAATCTTTTCTTTAAAAAAACGACCAGATGTTGAGTATATTACTTTATGAAATATCAAGCACCAACAATTGCATTAATGTGCTGAAGACAAGCTTTACAAACTAACTCTAACCACTAAAAGCATCTAATTTGCAAACTAACTCTAACCACTAAAAGTTTCAAGTAATACAACAAAAAGAATCTACGGTCATATCAGCCTGTTAAATCACGTTCTTCCGGTAAAGAAAACACCTCGCTTACCATTTTCTATGTTGATGATGTCTGCATTAGCCTAATAACTAATCAAGTTTAAGCACATGCAAATAACTACAACCTACAACCTGTATTATTTAAATAGCTTTTGGTAACCAATTTGCGCATTACATTCAGAGCCAAAGCACATGATTATGATTTAATGATTCTAATACTTGCAGAAATAATATACTTTAGCACAATTTATCAACAGGGCGACAAAATGGTAATAAACACAAACAAGGTTGGCATCATTTTGAACAACTAGACTCACCTGCAATGGAGCTTGATGAGCAGATAGTTCATCAGTCACTTTGAACTTTGCATTATTAATTTGCATGTGAGTATGGGGGAAACCAAGTGTAGATGTTTGTGCATTGGTATGTGATTTCCCATCTACTGGAGACTGATTCTTGCATGCAGTACCTGTTGATGGAACAGGTGCATCATGTTTTTCATCCTTCACACAAACCACTTGTGTCTTGTTTGCCATATTACCCATACAAAGCCAATGATATCCACTTGTAGACCCTTTGGCAGGTTGACCCAAAGAACTTTCATCACTCGTTAAACGATTAATAATGCCTCCGGCGCCGACATATGGTCCAATATCAGAGGTCCGATCCACCACAGCTACTCCACCTTCTCTGACAGCTACAGCCTCATAATTCATCGCACTGCTTCTTGATATACTTGGCATTAGATGTTCCTTCGATTCAGTCTCAACATTAAGTAACATGCCATCGTTATAAATTGAGCTTTGGCTCTGCCTTGATGAACCAAAATAAGGTGGTTCATTTGTGTTTGTGATATATGGAAAAATGAACTCATGATTGGGACCATAGTGAATGTTAGAATACCCATTAAAATCCACGGATGGGACTTCCACGTTGTCAGGGGCCTCTAGTGTTTGATAACTGTTTCTAACTGAATCAGCAAGTATGCCATCAGTTATCCCAGATCTATCCATCAGTTGGTGACTACCATTATTAAACCCAAAGGTCTCATTGCTACTAGCTCTCTCAAAATCAGTATCTGTGCCATGGTTGCTAAATGAAAAAATTTCTTGAGTAACTCCATGGTTTGCCAGCCAGGGAGTGACATGTGCAGGAACTGGCATCTGCCAATCACTAACGCTCCCATCAGTATGCATGGGAAACATATCTTGATGAGATTCAAAGCCAGAATAAAATATCTGCCTTTCAGTAACAGATGAACCACTTGACCAGAAAGTCCCAGAAGCTAAAGCTTCTGAGTGATGTGGAGGGGGAAATGCAAGTGAACCTGGAAAAGCAGGCATGTATCGAGTTAGAAACTAGGATTCGTAATCATAAATTCAGACACAGCATTAAATATCATATGCGACAGACAAGTTTGTTTGATAAGCCAAAAGATTACCATCATTGGTTTGGGAGTGCTCATTAACACCAACACCTGAAACTGACTCACTACATTGTGCGCTACTTGATGAAGGATCAGCTGGCCCATACTGCACAATCTAACATTACATAGTAACTATTCAAGGAAACAAATTCCACTCCCACAAGATAACATAAAAAATAATGTTTTTCTTGTAACATTTGTTTGTCTGTCTTTCACCCTCTCATCCATTGGGGTTATTGATACTGCCAAGAAATACATATAATCCAAAAAGAAAGTTGTCGAGGGAGTAACAAGCAAGAATCCATACAGAATTCAATTTTGTTAAGAATGGAGTGGATGCAACTGTGTGAATTATTAAAGAGCATGTTAAAAGATCTCATACTTCCAAAGAACTTTTACTTGGAATCCTTTCATCTATTCTCAGTAGTCAGTAATACTGGCCAAGGAGTATGTGTGATCGGAAGAAACGAAAGTTTTTCCTTTGAAGATCAACAAGCATAAGAACACATACACAATTCAATATCATAAAGGAAGGAAGGAATGTTGTTATATGAAATATTACAAAGCTTATTAAGCAATCCCATAGTGCCACCATTAGGGGAAAGTGTGACGGTTCATGGATGTTTTGTCATAACTAATAGCCGATAGAGAAATTCTCAAGGTACCCTACTTCTCATTAAGGGAAATTTAATCAAAGCAGCTACCACAGAGTCAAACCTGTTAACAATCCTGTCAAAGACCGGGAATGAAAAAAAAAAGAATGACGTTCATAACATTATGCACGGCAATAAAGGAAAAAGTACTGCCTCTTTTTTGGATATCCATTTCCATTACTCTTAACTCTTAAGCAATAAGTATCCACTACTCAGTGTGGCTCCTTCGTTCAGAATCACACCACATAAAGACATTGAAATCACCAATAAGGCCATCATGCAATTAACATTACCCTTCTCTACTAATGGTTGCGCGAATTGGTTATCTGGAAGGCCATCATGCAATTAACATTACCTTTCTCTACTAATGGTTGCGCGTATTGGTTATCTGGTTGTTTCATGGTGAGTTTTATTATTACAAATATTTGTTATTGAGGCATATGTCTGAAACATTGTCATGCAACATATATTAATGCAAGTATTAGATCAAGGTCACCTAATTTGTGGTACAAGTACACATTTGTAGGCATGTGTTGTTATTGGTTGTAGTATTTGTTTCATGAGGTAGTCTCGTTTGGTAGATTATTCTGGTAAGTGTTATGTGAAAGAATTGAATGCGGTACGTTAGATACATCGACATACTTGTATTCATGAACAATCATAAATGTACAGGAAACATTAGGAAACTTTTAAAAAGGTAGGATTCTCATTGTTATCAAGATCATAAGACTAGCATATATGGTTCATCCCAAAAAGGTGATGATACAAAATCAACACAGAATTAAAATCTTGTCTGTTTGGTAGCTGTTTCGTGCATATAACAACTGAACCACAGTATCTTAAAATAATATTTCATTGGAGTTTGACCTTAATCGGTCGAGATCTAGCTAACTAAATTGTATAAATAGATACTTTATCGTATTTTCCGCCTAAACCTATACGTTTTCCCAAATGCTTTACAGGGTTTGCCACCTGAGGGTTTCCGATGGTTGCAAACGCAAGAAGGGGAGAACACTATGGGGTGTGGCTATAGTCCCCTATATGTTAAGACTATTTTGTTGCTTTTTAAAACATTATTTTAGGGAAATGACTCATCTAATAACATTTAGTAGTGGTCAAACTCTAGTCGGATAGTCTTTTACTTTAGAAAAGAGGATCGATTGTCATGCAGAAATTATAACGTCATATCCGGTAAGTGTGTAGCGACAACAGACGCTTTTGGTGACATGCATTTGCATTATGCATAGTGTTAACAGAAGGAACCTAAAAGGAGGTAATCCAAGTGTGTTTAATAACTGAAGTTTGATTGAATAGCCTTAGGATATCGAAGGGGAAGCTAACAGGAAGTGGAAAGATAGGACAATGTGCGACGTGGTTGGAGAAAGTAGACCATTATGGAGGATTACGAATTGATTGCCACAAATATAACTTTAAATATATGTACATAAACTAAGGTCGTTAGACATTTGAAAAGGAATTAAATAAGATAATTAAGTTTTTGGTTTCTTTCTTACCGACTAAGTTGATATTATTTCCAAATTCAAGCCATGTGTTTTAGGCTTTCCCTTTCTTTGGTTCCCCTTGGTTCTAAGAACACATGTCAAGATTATGAGAGTACACGAGTAATTATTCTTAGACCAAGAGCCACATTTTATTCAGCTCTCGGTCTACTTCTCTCTTGACTCCACCTTTTTGCCTTTCTTCTGCATTAAAACCACCAATACCAGAGACCATTGGAGCAAAGAGAACTCAAATACTGTCTATCTACTGCATGGACGGACCCAGCATGGTGCCACCGTATTATTCCTCCGTTGAAAGGTGCAACCGTATTAATTTGTTGTGTGCCACTGTATGTACTTTGAAACTACAATGAGAACAAGTTGTCTTTGATAGAGTTGGTTTGCAAGGCTTTTCTTCCACCCTAGACCCGAGTTCGAGTCTTTTAGTGTCACTTTCTTAGTCAAATGGTGCCACCGTTCGAATTTTTTTCCCTATATTTGTTTCTTATAGTCAAATGGTGCTACCATTTGAAAAAAAAAAATGGGTCCGTCCCTGATCTACTGATATATAATGATACAAACCCTAGTTTTTTCAAACTGATTCAACTGATTCTCATTCATTATACCTGTTTAATGTGCTTTATTCTTCAAAATTGAGATAGCTGCAGTTGGCTATTTGGTCTGTGGATACAGCATGACCTACCTCGAGTCAATTTGATAAATTTCAAGATTCTAACTGCATCAAAGAATAAGCTCTTGGTCTTTCCCATGGTTCATACAGAAAATTGCTTCAGCATTTCAAATTCAATGTATAGCACATTAGTCTAGGAATTTTCAACAGTGACCAATTCAGTGAATATTGAAATGTGTCCATCTGAAAAGTTGTTAGTTAATCTCCCAATTCCTCAAAAATTACCTTTACCAATCTTACCTCATGACCTACATTCCAAATAGACATTCATAAACTTTAAATTTAATTAGATCATCATCAGTCATTACAAACACATACAGCAACTTGTGTACCTTCACATCACCAACAAGCCACAGTGAATACCTAGAGGAACCCCCAATAGAGACTGCAAATTCTAGAACTTCGAAATCAAAATCATGTCTAATTCTCCAACTAAACACATATGGATATACAAATCAGATGATTTCCAGTTGTCTAGTTTACAGAAATGTCACAAATACTTCAATCTTTTTTACAGAATCATACTCCAGTTCACCTCTAATCACTTGAAGATCAAAAGACAACAAAAATATCTCTTAAAAATGTCAGAATTCTTCATGTAATAACACACGCATGCACAAATCAACTACTTTACGACAACATCACACATTCTAACCAAATTTACACGATCAAACTCCAAACAACTTAAAATACAACCAAAAGAACAAATTTTAACTTACCTGCGAATAGTCGCCACGGGATTTCTCCGCAAGCATATTAAACAACGATTCAAAATCAACCGGTTCATCATCATTGGCGGTTACATCAAAACCATCATCATCATCAAACTGCCATTCATAGGAAGGACTACCATTCGCCATGATCATAATCTCCTAATGATTCATACAATGGCAGTACTATCTATTACAATGACGAATTGACGATCACTTGAAAAAAAAAAACCTTCCTTTATCTCCTCAAACAACCCCAAAAAACCTCAATTGTGCCCTAATTTCAATGAATCAATCGAAGATTATAGCAAAGATTTAGAACAAAAAAGGAAATCCAATGGGAGAATCGATGAAGAAGTTGCTTTGGTGCGTTCAGAAGGTGGAATGCATCTTGAGACGCTTGCTTTCAGCATTGACTCATATATACGAATAAATGCGCATGGCTTTCGTGAATTTTTTTTTTTTTAAATTATATTATATTTAATAATTTATATTTTCTATATAAGGAAATATTTGAATTTTAATTTAAATTTTATTAACCCGAACCGAAAATGTGAACCGAACCGAATAAGAAATTAAGCGTTTAGCGAATTAAACGTGGGTTTGTTTTGGTTTCGGGAAATTTTACGATAGGCATTATGTGGTTTTGTTTAGGTTTAGTAGTTTTAAAAATACAGATAATAAACTGAAATTACTGATTATATCAAATTATGGGGAGGTTTCATATATAAATCAGGTTATTGTTACAGACTATAGAAACCAATTAATTGAGATATTTATGAAAATGATAAAAGTTCTTTTTATTATGATTTGAATATTTATAAAAAAAATGATTAAAGTTCATTGATTATATATGATGCTTTGAATTTGGAAACAGTCGAAATATTTGAAACTAGATATTCATTAAATTAGATAGATGGTTGAGATTAATTTGTATGAATTAAGAGGTTTGCAAATGATTGAGACTATGTATATATACATACATAGGTTTTGGATTATGTGAGACAAAGTTGTTTTCATGAGACATGTGAGACATAATTTTTACATTTGAAACTTTACAGTAAAACATTGTGAAGGTAACCTTCACAATGTTTTTGTTGTGAAGATTCGGGTTTTTTTACCTTCACAACATTTTTTTGTAAAGTTTCAAGTGTAAACATCGTGTCTTACAAAAACAGCATTATTTCACATGAACCCAACCTTATATATATAGAGAGGAGCGATCAAATGAAAACCGCTCCCATTTGTGTAAACCATGTAAACCAATCTCATCCATCTATTTTCTTGATCAATTGTCAAGATTAGTTTAGTTTATTTTAGGAAATTAATATATATATATATATATATATAAAATTATTTTATAATAGCGAGAATGGCAAGATGGTAAAGCCAACCACATCTTCATTATGCACCCTATTATGGTAAATTCTTCACCCATATCATCATGCATCATGTTTCACTTGTCCAATGAGATTGTTTACGCACTCATATCATCATGCACCATATTCATCATGCACCATATTCATCATGCATTCATTTCATGTTGTACCCATTTCATCATGCATCCATTTCATAATCATTTTCACTTACTCCATGCAACAATTTCACCATGTATGAAACCGGTTTCATCATGCACCCATTTCATAATCATTTTTCACTTACTCCATGCACCAATTTCACTATGTATAAACCGGTTTCATGAATATTTCTTTTCTATTACTGATTTCATGGATTTATTAATCTAATAACTTACGATTTTCATGAATCTTGACAATAATAAACCTAGACACAATATAACAAAATTCAATTTTTAATATTATAATTTAATTAAATATTTAAACGTTATCATTTATAATATTTCCTTTATTATGTTACCTTAATTAAGATTTATCATTAACTTCCATATTTAATAGAAAACAATGCAAATGACCAATATACCCTTAATGATTAAATTTAATTAAAAAAATGAAATTTTTCTATTGGTCGAAATTAGTTTACACGGTTTCTAAGAATTGCACGGTTTTTATTTGAACGTGCATATATATATATATATATATATATATATATATATATATATGGGGGA